CTAAACCATCCCTCAAAGCCATTGTCAAGCATTTGCTTTCACCCCCCTTATATACACATTTCACACATTACCTGGGAGAAATCAAGCATGCGGCACTGGGCAACAGTTTAGAGCCACCACCTCTGGGGGGCACCACGCGGCAGAGTCGATGGTGGGAAAGAACTACGACAGCGCCAGGGGCAATTTCAAGTGTCCCCCAATTTCCCAAAGCTCACTAGGTTACTTCGCTTTTACCAGAGGCCTACATCAGCACCTGCTTTCCATAACCAAACAAAATCTCAACCGGATTTTCACTTTTATGGAAAAAAAGCAAAAAGCCAGAATAGCACTGGGTGTTTGTTTTAGCCCGAGCCATCAGAGGGGCAACAAGCACCCTGAGCAGCGAGAGGGGCCCCGCCGAGCTCCTTCCCCAGAACCACCCTCAGTGTCCCGGCATCACGCCGCCACGGCTTTGGGCTGTGTCTGTGAGCGCCTGTGCTTTATGCATATTTATTTCATGCATCCACCAGCAAGATGTGTCCTAACTGCCTCTTTGCTTTACACCGACAACTTTCATAGGAATGCTCTACTTTTGGATAGCGGGGAGACCTGTAGCTTGTAACACTGCTACTCAGGCACCGGAGGTGGGTCCCGCCCTTTCGGTCTTCCACACACCCCCTCGGGCAGGCCACCATATTCTTCTTAGCCACTTTGTGAACCACTATCCTGCCCTTCACCCCTATGTGAGTTTTCCCCTATTCCCCAAGCATGCCTTTACGTAGCGGAGACAAACTTAGAAGGGTACAGTACTTCGTCTCGGGGTGCCCACGAGCGGTGACACCAAATATCACAATCAAGAAAGTAAATTCACCAAACACCAGCATGGGGCCCCTTGGGTTTACGTTGCGCTCTTCCAAAACACAGTTAATTTTAAACTCATTAACATTTCTACTTATGGGAATTCCAGCTGGAAATTTTGTGATAATGTGGCTGTCTAAACTACAAAGTTTGCGAAATCCCTAGTTTAAAGACTAGATCAGGTTAAATATATGCAAATATAAAAAATAAAGTCATGTAAAAGCAACAAAAGGCAGGGAGATGCAAACTGCCCTCGACTGACATTTTAAAGGAGAGTTCATTTGCTAACATCATTCCCCAAAATTACACTATCTAGTTAGGTCTCACTTGATACTCACTTCATGAACCTGGCTCAACAAAAATGATGCCTTAGAGGCAAATTAACGACCTAAATTATTTTCTATAATTCTACATTTTGACTTACGAGGTTAGCTGACTTGCCAAAGACTTTCTATTTTCTAGCTCTTCCAGGTACAGTTGCTTGTACTTTTCCAATCTGTTTTCATTAGAATCAGTTTTTAGTTCAATTTCCAGATCTTTAACTCTCTGTTCCGTTTGACTGACTGAAGCACGTTTACACTCTCTTAACACGTTTTCTTGAAGTGCTGCTTGTGCCTAAAGCACATTAAAAGGATACCATTTTAAAAATAATTATAACCTGAGTAATTGCAGTCTGTTTGTACTCTTTATTTTCAGTCAATGACTCAGCAATTTTAAGTGTGAGAAAAAAGCTGAATGTTAAACTACTTATCATCAATGTCAAGTGAATTAAATCTGAATTACAAAATTAAAGTTGAACCACTCTTATATTAGTACTCATGTAATGTGATACTTAGAAGAATAATAGGATCAACTTAAAATTTTAAAAATT